GAAATCTCACTAGTGTAACTAAAGAACTGAATTCTTAATACTATTTACTTTTAATGAATTTAAATTTATTTTTTATTTTTTTTAATGTTTATTTTTGAGAGACAGAGAGAGACAGAGTGCAAGTGGGGGAGGGGCAGAGAGAGGGAGACACAGAATCCAAGCAGGGTCCAGGCCCTGAGCTGCCAGCACAGAGCCCAACACGGTACTCGAACTCCTGAACCATGAGATCATGACCTGAGCCAAAGTCAGACGCTTAACTGACTGAGCCACCCACGTGCCCCTGAATTTAAATTTAGCTACCTGTGGCTAGTGGCTACCATAGGGGCAAATGCAGTTCTAGACAGTAGGAACATAGCAGGGGACTAGACACACAGCTCCTGACCCTTGAAGACCTTATATTCTAATGGAGCATATGAGTATTAAAAAAGTAAGTGATCACATCAGGAAAATAAGATCTATACAGAAAATAGGGGCTCCTGGCTGGCTCATTCGGTAGAATGTGTAACTCCTGATCTCAGGATTGTGAGTTTGAGTCCCACTTTGGGTGTAGAGATTGCTTTTAAAAAATCTTAAAAAAAAATAAAAAGAAAAGACAAAGGGGTGAGAGAATAGAGATGTATGGAGGGGCAACTTTAGCTAAGGTGGTTGGAGAAGACCTTTTTGAGGAAGAGATATTTGGGTTAAGACCTAAACAGATGGGAAGGAGACAGCTGGGCAAAGATTTGAGGGAAGAGCTTATCAGACAGAGGGAACGGTAAGGACAAAGGTTCTGAGGCAGGAATGAGCTGGATGTATTTAAGAAAAGGCAATGACTGGGGTGCCTGGGTGGCTTAGTTGGTTGAGCATTCAATTTTGTCTCGGGTCAAGGTCTTGTGGTTCGTGGATTCGAGCCCTGCATTGGGCTCTCTGCTGTCAGCACAGAACCTACTTTGGACCCTCTGTCCCTCTCTCTCTGCCCCACCCCCGCTCACATGTGCTCTTTTTCTTTCTCTCAAAAATAAACATTGAGAAAGAAGAAAGAAAGAAAGAAAGAAAGAAAGAAAGAAAGAAAGAAAGAAAGAAAGAAAGAAAGAAAGAAAAGGTAATGGCTGGAATGTGCTCACTCCCCTACTGGAAGAGGAGAGGTCAGAGAGGTACCTGGTTAGGGGCCAGATCATTCACAGCCTTTCAGGCCAAGGTGAGAAGGTGGGTTTTATGTTGGAGCACTAGGGAGCCACTGGAAGGTATTAAGCAAGGAGATGAGGTGACTGGTTTATGTTTTTAAAAAGCTCTCTCTGGCTGCTAAGCAGTCGTGCAGTCATGATTAATAGTGGTCTGCATCAGAGGAGCGGTGTTGAAGGTGGGAAGAAACGGACAGATCCTGAATGTATTATAGAAACGGAATGTAGCAGCTTTGCTGAAGGATTGGATGTGGACATGAGAGGGAGGAGAAATTATAGGCGTTTAGCTGGAGCAGCTGAGAAGATAGTGATGCTTTTTATGAGGATGAGGGAATCAAGGGAAGGAACCCTTTGCAAGGAAGGAGGACTTAAGATCTTTGCATTGATCTGTTGTCTTGGAGATTCCCACAAGGCATCCAAGGAAAGATGTCATATTGACAATTGGATACACCATTTGCATGGGGGGAGAGCACTGGGTCAGAGTTAGAGATCAAGGGAAGGTCTTCACACAGAGATGGTGTTCAAAGTGATAGGTGTGTACAAGGATGGACAACATTAAGTGTTACCAAGGATGTGCAATAAATAGAACTCTCATATGGTGCTGGTAGGTGCTTTAAATTGATGCAGCTACAATGGAACACTGCTTGGTGATATTTATAAAAGCTAATAAGCATGTATCTACCTTGACATACCCACACAAGAGCGGGGTTCAAACTCACAAACTGCGAGATCATGACCTGAGCTGAAGTCCAACACTTAACCAACTGAGCCACCCAGTCACCCCCCAAATTCGCACTTTAAATAGTTGATTTCTCAATTTCTTCTAGGAAATCTGTTCTTTTTTGCTTACTATTTTTTTATATTATTACTAGGTGTGTACACATTTAAAATTATTATACATCATGGGGAAGTATTCCTTTTATCCTTTGTACTGATAATCTTTTTCCAAAATCATGCTTTTTGCCCTAAAGCCTATTTTGTCTTTGATAAATATAGTGATGCCTGTTTTATCTTGGTTAGAGTTATTTGACCTTTTTTTCTTCATGCTTTTCTTTTAAATCTTTCTGGAGGCTAATGTTTTGGGTATATCCCCTACAAACATTTTGAATTAATTTTAAACCTACCAAAAAGTCGTATATAAAGAAGAAAATAATAAAGGTCAGAACAGAAATAAGTGAAATAGAGAGTAAAAAAGACAATAGAAAGGATCAATGAGGGGTGCCTGGGTGGCTCAGTGGGTTAAGTGTCTGACTTCAGCTCGGGTCAGGATCTCACAGTGAGTTCAAGCCCCGTGTCGGGCTCTGTGCTGACAGTGTGGAGCCTGAGAGACCTCTTCCGGTTCGGTGTCTCCTACTGTCTCTGCCCCTCCCCCACTCATGCCTTTACTCTCTCTCTCAGAAAGAAACATTAAAAAAAAATTTTTTTAAAGAAAGGATCAACGAAACCATTGATCTCTCTGATTGTTTTCTCTGAGGAGCTAAACAAAATTGACAAACTTTTAGCCAGAACAACCAAGAAAAAAAGAAGACTCAAATAAAATCAGAAATGAAAGAGGAGATGTTACAACAGATACCACAGAAATACAAAGGGTCATAAAAGAATGCCAACAAATTGGACAACCTAGAATAAATGGATAAATTCCTAGAAACATGCACCCTTCCAAAACAATCATGAAAAAATAGAATCTCTGAACACACCAATTACTAGTAAGGAGATTGAATCGGTAATCAAAAACCTCCCAAAAAACAGATGTCCAGGATCAGATCCTTCACTGGTGAATTCTACCAAACGTTTGAAGAATTAATACCAATCCTCAAACTCTTCCAAAAAATAGAAGAGGAGCCCTCCCCAAAAGTTACAAAATAGTATGGAGTTTCCATGTATCCTTTCATCTTCCCCTAATGTTAGACCTTACATCACCATGTTACAACGATCAGAATGAGGAAATTAATATTGGTACAACACTATTAACCAAACCTTACATGGATTTCACTAATTTATCCAGGAATGTTCTTTTCTAGTTCCAGGATCCAATCCAGGTTCCCACATGACATTTAGCTGTCATCTCTCTTTAGTGTCCTCCAACAGGTGACTGTTCCTCTTTCTCTTGTTTTTCATGACGTTCACCCTCCGGAAGAGAATTGGTCAGTTATTTTATGGAATGTCCCTCAATTTGGGTTTGTCTAAGGTTTTCTCATGATTAAATTGATGTTATGCATTTTGGGGGCAGGGATACAACAGATGTAGTGTTATGTATGCTCTTTTCGGTTCATCTTATCAGGGGCTTCATTATGTCCATATGTCTTATGATTGGTGATGTTAACCCTGATCATCTGGCTAAGCTGTGATCATTAAACTGGGTTTTACCACTATAAAGTTGCTCTGTTTCTCTCTTATTGTTGTTGTTTTTTAATTTTTATTTATTTATTTTGAGATAGAGTGAGCGTGAGCTGGGGGAGAGGCAGAGAAAGAAAGGGAGAGAGAGAGAGAGAAAGAGAGAGAGAGAATCCCAGGCAGGCTCTGTGCTGTCAGCTCATAGCAGGACACAGGGCTCAATTTCACAAATCATTAAATCAGGACCTGAGCCGAAATCAAGTGTCTGAGGTTTAACCAACTGAGCAACCCAGGTGCCCCACTCTGTTTCTCTTTGTAATTAATAAGTTTATAATTTTGTAAA